CTACCCTACCTATTCTATTCTATTCTATTCTATTCTATTCTATTCTATTCTATTCTATTCTATTCTACTCTACCCTACCCTACCCTACCCTACCCTACCTTACCTATTCTATTCTATATTGGCACCATTGTCTTAAGTGTGCCCCCCTCCCCAATCAAGGTTGGTGTCAGTGCCCTCTGGAAAACTTTAGGAGCCATGAAATGGTTACCAAAAGATTACATGAAGACTGTTCAGGGAATCCTGGACTTACAACCATTCACTTAGCGACCGTTCAGAGTTACAGTGGCCCTGAAAAAAGTGACATGACCAGTCTTTGCAGTTACGACCATTTCAGCAATCCCCAGGGTCGGGTGATCACATTTTTGTACCCTTGGCTCTTGGCATGTGGTTCGAGTGGTGGCAGCGTTCCTGAGATCACATGATTGCCATTTGCAACCTTCCCAGCCGGTTTCCAACCACCCAAGTCAATGGGGAAAGCTGGATCCGCTTAACAACCATGTGACTAACAGCCAGGTCACTAAGAACCACGAGATTCCCCTGACTGTGGCGATCTCCTTAGCAGTCGTCTCAAGAAGAAGTTCATAAAATCAGGCATGACTCATTTAACAACTGCCTTGCTTAACAGTGGAAATTCTGATCCTAATTGTTTGTAGAGATTCTCAGTCATCCAAATCATGGTTGTCCCAAAGGCGCTTTTTCAGAGGGCAGCTGGACTTTCTTCTTTTTTTTTTCTTTCGACGACATTTCACTTCTCATCTAAGAAGCTTCTTCAGCTCTGACCAGATGATGGGGAATGGAAGGACTTGTTTTCCTTGCAGACAGCTGGTCATTTGCATCCTTTTAGAGAGCCGTTGAGGCCACTTGGAGGTTTGTCTATGTCCTCAGGGTCACCCGAGTTGTGCTAATGGTTCCTGTAAGTCTGCAATTTTTCTGGAAATCCATTCATTCTCCCACACCATTCCAAGGGCGTTCATCCCAAACTGCATAGTCTATAAAACTCCATAGAGGTTCTCAGTCATCCAGGCCATGGCTGCCCCAAAGGTGCTTTTTTCAGGAGGCAACTGGGCTTCCTTGGGCTTCAGTGAGACTCTACAACAGGGGTCCCCAACCACCAGTCCCCGGACCGGTACCGGTCCGTGGAACAATTTCTACCGGGCCGCCGGTTTGCTGGGCGCCGCCATCTTGTTTTGATGAAAAAGTGCTTCCGGTGACCTTTTCCGGGTAGAAAGCGGCGTTTGGGTGCTGAAAGAATCCTCGCGCCTTAGTTTCATCGAGGGGCGGCAGCTTTGAACAAAACTAAGGCGCGAGGATTCTTTCAGCACCCAAGGCAAGGCGAGCCGAGCGACTGTCCCGAAGCCGTCGTGAAACCCATCGACACAGGTACCTTGCCATGCGTGCCGAAAAAGCATCTTTGGGTCTGGTCCTAATTATGGTCGTAAATCGAGGACTGCCTGTAGCTTGACAGACTCTAGAGGACTACCTTTGAATTAGGTAAGGCCAAGACAATCCGGCCTTGTCTAGGATTGCAGTCTATGATAATCGCCTTTTGTGAAGTGCGTAGAATGACTTTGTGGAAATGTCGGTCCTTCTCTGGTCCTTCAGTAAATATTTTCCCACTTTCCCCACCTTGCTTTTTCATTCTCCTTTCAGCAAGTGAATGGGATCTTGGAGAGCCCTACAGGCACTGGGAAGACATTATGCCTCCTGTGCTCGACCTTGGCATGGCGAGCGCACTTCAAGGATGCCGTTTCTGCGCAAAAGATTGCCCAGCGATTAAAAGGGGCAGAACTGTTTCCCGACCAGCCATTGTCGTCTTGGGGCAGTGCTGTCACGGGGACCGAGGTTCCAGGTATTTCCTGTTCATTTGGCAGCCCTTGTTATATTTGCAATGAGGTTTTTGACAATAGAGCAGGTGTAAGGATCACTGTCTGGGTTCCAAGTACAGATCCATAGCAAGCAAAACTCTTGACGCGGGTAGATTCCTAAAAGGGTAGCTTCGTTGGAAATATCATATTGGTGCATATCTGACGAAAGCCGACTCTAAAGGTTCCCATGGTTTTCACCTAGTTACAAGAGAAAGTTTTCCCACAACTCCAAACAATCAGTCGCATGGTCCAATCAAGATGCTGTCTGGTGACCTCACTCCTCCTTCCACAGTCCAGGTGTGAGAGTGTCCTTGGTTCTCAAGAGAAAGTATTTTGTTTTGACTACGCAAACCCCTCCATCTCTAATCCCCTCTCCCTTTCCCTCAATTCCAGTGTGGCAACACTGAAGCTGTAATATGGCTCCGGTCAGGTCAGCTTCAGGGTTGACAATAAGAACAGAAGGGACCTTGTAAGGTCATCTAATACAACTCTCCCCGCCCCCCCAAGCAGGAGGGCCTATACCAGATGGCAGTCCAGTCTCTTCTTGAAAGCTTCCAGTGATGAAGTTCCCACAATTTCTGAAGGCAAGCCGATAATAGGTTTATTAGATACAGGTAGTATCTAATATCTGATAATACAACAGCCCTGCAGAAAGTGACTTACAACCAGTCCCCATACTTACAATCTTTGCAGTATCCCCAGGGTCACAAGATCAAAATTTGGGGGGCTTGGCTATCGGCATGTAGTTATGACAGTCACAGCATCCCGGTGTCATGTGATCCCCATTTCTGAACCTTCCCAGTTGGCTTCCAACAAGCAAAGCGAAGGGGGGAAGTCATTCGCTTAACGACCGTCGTCGTGTCCATGGTTACCTGATTCCATTTGCAATTTTCCCAGCCAGCTTCTGACAAGCGAAGTCAACGCGGAGAAACTGGATTCGTTTAACCCCCTCGTGATTCACTTAATATCTGCAGGGCTTTGCTTAACATCTGTGGCAAAATTGCCGTAATGGGTGCAATTCACTAAACCGTTGCTTTGCTTAGCAACTGAAATCCTGGTCCCAATGACGGTCGTAAGTTGGGGACTGCCTGTAACGCTGCTACCTTTTCCTCTTGCAGCACTTCAGAATGTTGAAAGTTTGGGGAACATGGAAGATGAAACAAGGCGAACCAATAAAAATATCGCGGCATAGCCTTGAAATCCTTTTCAGAACGAAAGCAGAAACTGGTTATAAGGAAAGCTTGAGAATCCTGTCCGCCATATCCCAAAGGTATCCTTTCAAAGGGCAACTGGATTTTGTTTTTCCTGGAAGACGTTTCGCTTCTCACTCAAAAGAAACTTTTTCAGTTCTGGCTGAATGCTGGAAAACGGAAGGATTTATATTTCTTCTGGACATCTGGTTGTTAGCTCTCTCTCTCTCTCTCTGAAAATCATTGAGGCCACTTGGAAGTTTATCTGTGTCCTCGGGGCACACCTGAATTGTGCAAATGGGCGTGGAGCCTTTTTGGAACTGCGGAAAGGACTCGTGGACAGGAGATAGTTGGTGTCATGTCCCTCCCCACCACCCTGAGAGAGGTCTGTTCGGTATTAACACATGGTAGATGGCCCCTTTGACCCCTCTTTCAAACCATTGGTCCTCTCTCTCCAGAATATGGACTTTGCTGTCTTCCGATCTGTGATATGCTGCCGGTTCGTACCGGTTCTAGTGATCCGGTAGTGCCAATCAGCAGTTGGCCCCGCACAGCCACCCACCCCTGTCCTTTCCTGTCCTATATTCCCTTTGTAGCTCAGCTGATAGGCGTGGCAGAGCACATTGCCGGCCCCCCTCAGCTGTTCTACTCATCAGCGCTGACGGTAAGTTTTCATGCCTGAAATTGCCCGTTTTAGAAGGCTCCAAGTGTACGCAAAGCGCACGCCCACAGAAACCAGTAGTAAAATATTTTGAATTCCACCACGGCTTCAAATGTTCATTGCTTTTGAGTTATGTGTGCTAATGACCAGATGACTGCAGGGAATATAAATCCTTCCATTCTACCATCCTTCAGTCAGAACTGAAGAATCTTCTTGGATGAGTAACAAAACATCTTCAAGGAAAAAAAATAAGAAAGTCCAGTTGCTTTTTGGAAAAGCACCTTTGAGACAACCATGACCGGGATGACTGAGAATCTCCATAGACATCTCTCTGCGGTATGTTTAGTTGTCTGCAGAGAAGTTTAAACAATGCAAACCAGTGCATCCATTTTCACTGGCATTTGCAGATATTCACCCACAAGCGTTTCAAAGCAAATCTCCTTTTTGAAGATAGTAAAAAAATAATAATACAGTCTTCTCTGTTAGGCGGGCAGTTGGGCTGTAAATTCCCAGACTATGTCCATAGGCTAAATTGTTACCATAGCACCACCGAGGAAAAGCAGGCTGATGATATATTTAGTTACTAAACACAAACTAAACTTTTTCCCCCCCCCTTTCTTTCTCCCTCCTGCGCACGTTTCCTTTTCTCACTTTCTCCGCATGACAGCTTATTACACCGATGTCCCTAAAATAATTTATGCCTCCAGAACACATTCTCAGCTTGCTCAGGTCATCGGTGAATTGAAGAATACCGCTTACAGGTAAAGAACACATTTTAACTTCAAGTGTGAAAAGTGCCTGGGGGTTTATAGTTGACTCACTTTATTTATTTCGGAAGCGTTCTTGTTTATTGCAGTGAACTGAAAAAGCTGTCTTGCCCTACAGCCACAGTAATAAAAAGCAATGCCCCTCCTGGTTCAGACCAAAAGGAGGATGTTTGTCCAGCATTCTGATCAGCAGAGGCAGATCCGATTCTTTCTTGGAAGCCAACGAGCGGAACCTAAATGCGATATTACTTTATCTCAACCGCTGTTTGGAGGCTATTTGCAAATGATAATGGGGATCATAAATAGCTGAGAGGACCGTTAGCCATTGGTGATTTATCCAGCTGAGCTTATTTTGTCTCTTTTTAAAAAGCAGTCCAAGTTGCCATCCATCACTTCCGCCTTGCAGTGCATTTAATGGCAGTTTATTGATGTTTGGTTGAAGAAGTATTTTCTTTTTTTAACCTGTGAGGATTTATATCATTCAGCTGTGCTTAAAGGTAACAGAATAACAGTCAGAGGTCTCGAAGTTTTGATTAATAGATTAACAGAGTTGGAAGGGACCTTGTAGGTTATCTAGTCCAACCCACCCACCCAAGCAGGAGACCCTGCACCATTTCTGACAGATGGGAGTCCAGTTTCTTCTGGAAAGCTTCCAGCGATGAAGCTCCCACAACTTCCGAAGGCAACTTCTGTTCCATTTAGTTGATTGCTCTCATTGTCAGAAATTTCTCCTTATTTCCGGGTTGAATCTTCTAGTCAAACCCCCATTTCAGACAAACGGCTGTCCAATCTCTTCTTAAAAACCTCCAGTGTTGGAGCTTTCACCCGTTTCTGAAGTTGTGTTCAATTGATTAATTTTTTTCCTCTGTCAGGAACTTTCTCCTTAGTTCTAGGATAGATTTCACCTTGATTAATTTCCACCCATTGCTTCCTGTCCTGCCTTCTGGTGCTTTGGAGAATAGCTTGACTCCCTCTTCTTTGGGGCAACCCCTGAGATATTGGAACACTGTTATCATGTCACTCCGAGTCCTTCTTTTCATTAAACTGGACTTTAGTATTTTCACAGAGGGTGAAGACCTTCTCCCTAGCAGCCATGCTGTATAGTTAGATGCCCATTTATCTTGCTTATCCTGCCCCCATTTTACTTTCCTGGGTTTTTTTTTTTTTAACGCTAAAATATAAAACGTGCCACTGTTTTGTTTTTTTCTTGATCTGTATTTTGACATTACATGGAAATGCTGTGGATCTTCTGCTGTTCTTGTTGTTAAAACAGACCCAAAGTTTGTGTGTTGGGATCCAGAGACCAGCTTTGCATCCACCCTGAAGTTAAAAAACAGGAAAACAATCATATGCAGGTAAAATTATACGTGTGAAATGACACCGACCCAGGATTATTCTGTTACTCTTACGATTGACAGGAAAGGCAGCCTCCCTATAACAAAATTTAATTTTATGTGTTTCTCTGAGTCCAGTTCAAAGCACTGTTTTGCCCCATCACCTCTGCAGGAACCCTGCCTTTCAGTACTGTATATCACCATCTTTTATACTGGGCCATGGTGGCGCAGTGGTTAGAATGCAGTACTGCGGACTCATTCTGCCAACTGCCAGCAGTTTGATTCTTACCCCCTCAAGATTGACTCAGCCTTCCATCCTTCCGAGGTCGGTAAAATGAGGACCCAGATTGTTATGGGCTATAGGCTGACTCTGGAAACCACCGAGAGGGGACTGTAAAGCGATATATAAGTCTTAAGTGCTATTGCTATCTCCTTAAGAGGGCTTTCGATGAGTAGTGCGATGGCCTAGTGCTGAAGACCTTTGCCTCCCGCTCAGAAGGTTGAGAGTTCAAGCGGAAGATGTTTCTCTCCTAAGGTGCAAAGAAAAAAATTAATCTGCTGTGAACTCCGTGTAGGCGTCAGGAAGGGCAGCCAGCCGGTAAATGCTCAGCTCAATCTAATCGCCCCAACCCTACTCCGAATTAAGGGATTACGGGGTCGTGAAAAGAGAGTAGGGGGCCTCCTATCAAAGCAGGGGTGCCCAACCTTGGCTACTTGTCTGTGGACTTCACAACTCCCAGAATTCCCCATGTAAGGATAACACGTTCGCTATCTCGGAGCTAAGCAGACAAATCTCTGCAGGGAATTGCTGCTCATATTGCTAGCACGGGGCACTAAATGAACCTATTTTAGCTCCCTTGATGCACTGAACTGGATTTTAATTGATTTGCAGATCCACTTGTGTCGTATGAAAGTGTCAAGCCGCTCGTGTCACTTCTATAACAACATGGAAGGTAAGGAATGTGGCTCTTGGCTGAGGCTGAATAAGGCTTTTATTGATGGGGGGGAGTCGCACTTACGTGTTACAGGTCTGCTGCGTTTGCCAGGCAATCTACGCTGTGATTGGTTGCTGTGGGTGTGGAGGGGGGAGGTTCCCTTTTTTTCCCGCCTTTTTCTTCGGTGTGCTCTATGCATTTACCTCATGAGGCTCCCGTTTCCCTGACTATCTTGTTTGCTGTGCAGATAGATAGATAGATGATTGATAGATTGGGATGGATGGATGGATGGATGGATGGATGGATGGATGGATGGACAGACAGATGATAGACATCGGCGGGCTGTTGATAGACATGGATGGATGGATGGATGGATAGGGATGGATGGATAGACAGACGGACAGATAGGCATGGATGGATGGACAGACAGACCGATAGACAATAGATAGATATGGATGGACAGATGGACAGACAAATAGAAAGACAATATGATAGATATGAATGGATGGATGGATGGATGGATAGAGATAGATAGATAGATAGATAGATAGATAGATAGATAGGCAGGCAGGCATGGATGGATGGACAGACACAGAAAGACAATGGATAGATATGGATGGATGGATGGATGGATGGATGGAGATAGATAGATAGATAGATAGATAGATAGATAGATAGATAGATAGATAGGCAGGCATGGATGGACAGAGACAGATAGAAAGACAATAGATAGATATGGATGGATGGATGGATGGATGGATGGAGATAGATAGATAGATAGATAGATAGGCATGGATGGATGGACAGAGACAGATAGAAAGACAATCGATAGATATGGATGGATGGATGGATGGATAGGGATGGATAGATAGAGATAGATATGAATGGACAGACAGAGACAATAGATAGGCATGGATGGATGGATGGACAGAGATAGATAGAAAGACAATAGATATATGGATGGACGGATGGATGGATAGATAAATGTTAAATATATTTAGTTAGTTAGTGTCAGCATCTCTGACTTCATTTGGACATCTGTGCAATTCCCTGACACCACCATAGTCAGGGTTTGGTAGACGTACAGCATAATTAGCAAGATTAATACAAGCAACCTATGTTATTGTGCATTTACATGTATTGATTTGGATAGATATTTGCTGATTTAGTTTTCAAATTATTAGGCTGGCAAATAAGACAGGTTGGTCTATTCAGCATAGGAGATTCTCAGTAATGTTTCTTTTTTAATAATCGTGATCAGACTGAGGCTTGGTAGACCATCTATCTACTCTATATAAGGGCCAAAGGAATAAGAATCGCCCTATTGGGTGGCACATTAATTTAATAAATGGCAATTTTCCTATAAGGGCTATTTCCTATATGGGTTATATAATGAGGTTTTGAAGCAATAAGTGTATTTTATTTCTCTCTTCACACTTTGCTGTATTAATAGAACTACAGGTAGTTCTCAACTTACAACAGTTCATTTAGTGGCCATTCAGAGTTAACAACATTACTGAAACAAGTGACTCATGACTGCTTTTCACACTTACAACCATTGCAGCATCCCCATGGATAAGTGACCAAAAATTCAAATGCTCGGCAACTGACTCGTATTTATGACAGTTGCAGGGTGTTGGGGGGGTCCCGCGATCCCCTTTTGCAGCTTTCTGACATTGAAGGTTCACTTCAAAACCACGTTACTAACTTAATAAGTGCAGTTATTCACTTAAGAACTGTGGCAAGAAACGTTGTAAAACGGGCCAAAATTTCACTTCAATTTCTCTTCAGTTGTAACACATGTCTCACTTACCAACAGAAATTTTGGGCTCAGTTGGGATCCTAAGTTGAGGACTACCGGTATAGAGCCTATTGGAAGAACAGGAACTATGGTGGAAGCTGCAGTCACAAACTGAGTTTAGAAAAAGCTCAGGGATATCTTGGCTTGCAGCTGAGCCCCGGTGCTTGTAATGTGTCGCGTCCCTTTCATCTTGGAACAGTTTTTTTTTTTTAAAAAAAAATTAAAACCGTGGACGGGTGATGAATTAACGGTGTGGTGTTAATGTATTAATCAAATGAAAGCAGCAGGCCTTGATTAAAGTGGATTCGGCACGGCAGGTAGACTCTCAAGCCCTATTAAACATAGCCGGTTCCTTCGGGGCTCCCCGAGAAGGCGGGTTGTTTCCTTGTCGCTGATCATTTTCATTGACTGACACCTGTTCCAACATAAATTGTACGAAGGCCCAGCGGAAAAAAAGGTGCATCTCTGCACAATTCCAATGGGTTTCATTTAAAAAGGGTGCTGGTTGTGCGCAGAAAGCTGGCATTTTTATTTATTTGTTATTATCCCACCTTTCTTCTTGCAAATAACTCAAGGTGGCAAACACATCCGATACTCCTTCCTCCTCCTATGTTCCCCACAACAACCCTGTGAGGTGAGTTGGGCTGAGAGAGAGAGTGATTGGCTCAAAGTCGCCCAGCTGGCTTTCATGCCTAAGGCGGGACCAGAACTCACCGTCTCCTGGTGATTGGTCCAAAGTCGCCCAGCTGGCTTTCATGCCTAAGGCGGGACTAGAACTCTGTCTCCGGGTGATTGGTCCAAAGTCACCCAGCTGGCTTTCATGCCTAAGGCGGG